AAATATCTCAACAACTAATTAATCAAATTTGCTAAAAATTTTTTTATTTTAATCTTAAAATTATATAGAATTAAAATTAAAAAATTTTATTAAATTTGATAAGATAATTGCCAAGATATTTAAGCCTAAAGTCAAGAAAACTTAAACTTAGAAAAAGTTTGGCCCTTTTCTATTGACTCACCCCTATATATTGCATTTATATGCTTTCCAAAAATAGGATCATGGTGCTATATGTTGCACAACATCATTCTAGCATAATTGAACTTTTGAGCTGCTAGATTGGTATTATTAACATTACTCTAGCTATCAAGATGCTTTTCAAAATGGTTTATCAGCAAGATGATTCTAGTTAGCTTTTCTAAAAGCATTGCTATACTTCTTTTAGCTGGATTATATTTTGATTGTCCCGGAGCATGGGTTTATACAGTTAAATAGTCTAAATTAAATTTTTTAAACAACTTACAATATGACTTAAATTTTTAAAATGTTTAGGGTTCTTGTCAGGACCCTCGTCAACTAACAAAACCCAAATCGGTTTTATCTCATTATTTATTTTTAGGGCTTCTGAATACTGATTATCTAATATAAGAGAAATAAGACTTTAGTATAGATAATAGATAATGTACTGATTGACTACTGAGGTCTAACAAAAATTGCTACTTGTTCTATTCGAAAGTCATCATTTTCTTCATTTGATTTAATCATTAGATAAACAGACAGAATTAGGTTTTGACTATTTTTATATACAAAATCATAGTCAAGTAATTGAACTAGTTCAGATATAAACTGTAAAGTGCGAAATGTTCTACCCACTGCTGGTATTTCTAGGCTTATTTTTGCTTTATTATCCTGAGAGATGATTACAGAAACATTTGAAAAAGCATATACAAATTGTCTTACTCCTTTAACTGAAGCAAGGCAATAATGCTTATCAGGATGATCTTTTGTTTCATTACGAAAAACACTAGCTACAGCTATCCAGACCAGATAATGATGAGCTTTAGCCGCAATTGAATTTGATTAGCAAGGCAAAAGATAATTGTTTAAGATCATTCTGGCTATATAAATGCCATAATTTTTTTGAGATTCTCCTTTAAGCGATTTATAATTCTTACTTTAATGGCTTCTTTATACCCACGTGTATTAGCAAATCCATACTCTACTGAATTATGAATATTATCGAGTAACTCTGAATTCTGAAGCAATATTGACGGTTTGCCAGATGAATCATATTGAATTACCACTTGTTCTTCTTCTAATGCTTTAGTTTTTTTGGATTGGCATTTAGATTGGTATTCGGCATTTCTTTTTAGCTTGTGTAGTTTGTTCTTATATTTTTGAAGTTTAGATTTAAAGTTTATAATTCTAATATACAAATTATGATAGAGCTACAAATCATTGGTAAAGTTATATATAGCTTCCAATTTTTTGATTTTTTTTTCTACAACTACTTTAGAATTAGCTACCTATTTTTGAGCTGATGCATTACTTTGAATTTCTTTTATATCAAATGTTTGTAAGATCTGTAAAGGTGTATTCTGAAATAAATTTATTTTAGAAATTTTTGGGAGCTTTTGTTGAGATGAAGCAGTGGACCAAAAATATCCTTGCACTTTAAAAGGCATTGCTAAGTATTTTTTTATAATATCATTGTTTTCAGGTTCTTTCATCTTTTTAATACTTTTCTATTCTTTTGTAGCAGCATCATATATTGTTAATCAACTTGAAGTGAGATTTTTATTTATTACCATATATTTATATGCAAATGCATTTGTAAATTGTTGGTATTTGGTATCAGGAGACTTGTATATATAAGTTTTATTGAACTTTGGGTTTAAAAGAAAGGTTTGTCGGCTCATAGATATTAGTTGAAAGTTTGTATGAAAAAAAGTATACAAATCATATTGGAGGTGAATGTATTTATATAACAATTGAATAAAATCTATCAATCTACTTATACAATCGTATATGCATTGCTTTTATTAATAAAAGCTGAATACTAAATAAGTTAAGTTTCATTTCTTTTTTTGTTTTTATATATAATAATTATTATGATTCTTTGTTTTTTTCTAGTATATCATATACTATTATTCTTGTATCAATGGACTTACTATTTCTACTATATTATCATTTTCATTAGTGAATGTATTTTTATAAGTATTGTTTTCATTATTTTCATTGGATAAACCTTTCAGTGTATTTAAAAATTATATATGCGATTCTTAAAAATCCAATTATTTATAACCGAAGATATTATTGTCTACTTGGTTGATATATCATCAGAGAGTTTTTTTTTTATTAATATTATATGGGATTCCAACAGTTTTTAAAAGAAAAATCATTCTTTAAAAAACAGGAAATTTCAAAGAAATCCATTGTTATGTCTAGAGAACTTGTACAAAGAATTATACAGTAACATACTGCAAGAAAACTGTAAGATATAGGAAAAGGGTGTAAGAAGAACCGCACTTGTTGTTAAAGATAGTTCTTATACACTACCTGCTAACAAGCTTAGAGTTTATCACTTATAGCAGCACAACACTTGTTATTTAGAGATAGTTCTTAAACGCTATCTGCCGACAAGCCTAGAGCTTATTACTCACTGAAAAAACTTAGTACTGTGCAAACTTGTGGAACACCTGTTAATGTTTTTAAAACTCACACTTATTTAAATATGTGCTAGTGGTCTTCTTTGTGTTTTTCACTTTTTGCCGTTCTCACCAAAAATTTCAACAAAAAAGTAGGCATTTTAGCTTACCCTTTTCAAAAGATTGGCATTGTTTACATCTACCTAATTCGGATGACTCAGTAGAATACAACCACGTGTTTGTTTTGTTTATCAATATAGTACTACGGTATGTGGAAAAGATTGCTACTCCGTTTAGAAAATACCCGAGTTGAGTCAGTGTCCGGAACGAGTCCCAAAGCTAAACCAAAGGTTTACAATATAGTAATTAGTTGCAATTATTATATAATTTTTATCTTTATGCCTAGCACGAGCTATAATAGTGTGTCATGGCTACTTTCTTTTTTTTTGCTTTTTTCATTTTTGTTCATTTATGGTAGACTATTTTAGAATTTGTTGAAAAGTTTTTTTTTCACCATGGAGTGTTTTTTTTCTAAAATGTTTATGTTTCTCATAAACATAGCATTATTTTTTTCATTTTATATATAAATAAGGGTTTTAATTTTGTTGTCGAGCTTAGGTGAAAGAAGTTTGAAAGAAGAAGAGATAGTCATGATGGGCGGCAAGGTCTACTGTTGAGAGCCGGGTCATATCCAATTGCAGGAGGGGTCCAGAAGAAGAAAAATTTTGCTATAGCAGGTTGAACATAGGTACCAATTAGGGTAACTGAGTTAGTTTTAACTTGTAATTTAGGTAACATTAGGTTTAATGCTATGGTACTTGTCGTTTAGAGATAGTTCTTATATGCTATCTGCCAACAAGTTAAGAGTTTATCACTTACCTTCTGAAATGCAGCCTAGTGTAAAATTTTACCAGTCTAGAAGATTCATACAAAACCTAATAAAGTTAAAGTATGACTGCCGAATTTATAAAAAAAAAAAAAAAAAAAAATATGAAATATAATCATTAATATAATATAGGGGGAGGTGAGTACCTTATAGTAAATTGATATTATATAATATCTGTCACAGCTCTTATAGAAGGTTCTATTATGCATAAGTTGTATGTATAAATTTATAATTGGCAAGATAGCATCAACAACCTCTAAAACAGTATTAGGGATCTTGTTTAGGGATAACTGGGTAGTAATCAGAATTGAAAGTGGTAAAAAATGTAGTAAACACAAAGGAATCTGTGGTAAAAAATTGGCTTTATCAGATTTGAAACACCTTTGGCATATACAAAACTTATTAGCCAATAAGAAGTTAAAACATGGAGGTATGTATATGTTGATAGATATAACAGACTCTAGTCATACTTGTATGGAAGTTTCCAAACATTAAGAAGATTCGAGACTACCAATACAGGTATAGCTGGTATAAATAAATACAGTAATAACCAGGAGCTACAATTGATGAGAATCACTATAAATAGAAAATAATAATGTACCTGTTAAGAACCCCTAGACCTCATGATTTTATCTAACTATATCAGGTACTGGAAGCATTTGCAAAACATATCTGAGCAGCTTTATCACTATATTGGAAAGTATAGTTGTTTGCACAATACCAAATTCAAAACATTAAAATCTGAGTCACAAGTCATAGAAAACTATAGTAGCTAGTTATAGCAGCATGCAAGTTTGAGATACTTACTCAATTGAGTAGAGGTAGCTGCATAATCTAAAATACAAATTTCTAGAAGTACACTAGTTGGGACTGGGTATACCAAATTGGAAGCAATAAGTACCCATCTGGTATATACCAATTTGAGAGTTAAGATATTAGATATATGAGTAAAGTAATAGATATATGAATACTAATTGGCAATTGGGAAGAGATATATAAATCTAGGTTAATTACATATATAGGAGTGTTAATAGCTCTAGTAGGTTCTAGTCCTAGTTCTGATATATAATATATATATTTAAATACTATCAACTTGCTTAATTATTAACAAAAGTCTAGGCCAGACACTACACTCTAATATTAAAAAATAAATAAATAAATATAACAAAGAAAAAAATTTTTTTTTCTTTTTTACAAAAAAAAAATTTTTATATAATAGTTTAGTCTATACAAACTGAATTTTCTGGTTTTTATAATCTAGTAGGTCATATTTTGAAAATTTTTTGAAAAAAACTTTTAATAGTCGAGTAGGATTTCAAAAAATTTTTTTTTAAAAATATTAAATTTAAAATTTTTTATATATAAAATTTTTAAATAAAAGTTCGGGCAAGCAGGTCATTTTTTTTGTCTCATGTTATGAGAACTAGAAAATTTAGTTTTTATAGCCTTACAAAGCTAATTTTCTCAATTACTTGAAGCATACCAAAATATTGTTACTTATCTCTGTAACAGAACTATACCTATTTCAATTATACTAAAAAACTAATAGAACTTTAAACATAAAATGAAACTGTAGTATCTAAAATATAGTTATCTTTATATTTAAATTAAGAATTAGCTACTTCAATATTTTGTTCTCATATGAGACTTTGAGTTTTGTCAATCATAATAACAACTACTATATTAATATGAAAAAAAGATATTTATAAATATATTTAAAATTGTAATATTTGTAATAAATCTACTTTAATTAAAAAAAAAGATAATCTAATAGCAGTTGTAAGTTATAGTTTAATAAAACACTTTCAGATAAACCTTATTGATTTTACTATATATAAAAATATAAACGATGAGTTTTTCTGGCTTCTTATTGTGGTTTGTATTTTTTTAAAATTCTTGTAAGCAATATTGCTTAAATCAAAAAAAGCTGATATTGTTGGTAAAAGTTTGATTTTGCTATTTATACAATCAGGTGTGTCATTAATCCTGCAATTCAACAATAGTAAAGAACTAGTTTATAAGACCCGGTCGGTGACCGGGTTCGAGTTCCTAATTTTTTGCTAATTCTTAGGCCTCAACATTAAT